GGGAAAGAGCTGGGCCTGGACCAGGACCCAGACCTTCTCTCTGGTCCTGCCTACTCCTAGCTCCTGACTTCCTTCCTGAGAGCACATGGCATCATTCTCAGGTGGTGTAAAGGTTTCAGAGCTGCTGATTCTGAGGGGTGCAAAGCAGAAGGGGCTTCCTCCTGGCTCCCATTTTCTTCTCTCAGATCTGGCTTCTGGAGACTTCTCCCATCCTAAGGGGAAACTGCCCAGAAAGAGGACATGGCTACTGAACAGAGGGAAGCAAGGTCTCAGGTGAGTTCATTGCCATCTCAGGTCTTAGAGACAGATGGGTTTTTTTGGTTTTTTACCCTTAAACTGATGCTTTCTCCCCAGTACAGTCTTCGCCAGGATTTGGAGCCCATGCCCTTCTCCCTTGGAAGAGTTGGTCCATCCTGGTGGATGGTGGATTGCGTAGGGATTGCTTGCCTCCAACCCCCCAATCCACGTGTTGTGTTTCTTTTTTTTTTTTTTTTTTCTGATAGACACTCTTTTATTCATTAATCTCAATTCACTGTATGGTTACTGAATTGACAGGTAAGATGCCACAGGTCTTATACCACTTGGGGTCAGAACAAACAAACATGCGCACTTGGCAGAGTTCCTTTCTGGCCTGCCTCCTTTGCTCACTCATGTCCCCCTCCCTACCCTTGGCCAGAATGCTTTTCTTTTTCTTTCCACCCCTGAGAATCTTCATGATACCTTACCCAGGCTTTGCCCTGTCCAGAGTTTTTAGTTTTTTTCTCCCTCTTAACTTTCTGGATCATGTGCCTTGCTTCTATCACTCTCTTGAAAACTGATCTTGACCTGCCATTGTCATCTTTATTCTGTGGGAATGAGGGTGGGACCCCATCCAGGTGAGGTGGTGTGTGAACAAAGGATAGCCATTTTGGTGGGGACACAGGTGGAGAGGTCTCTTGACTTTAAGAGCCGAGAGAAGACTCCTCAGGAAGTGGCAGGGAGGGTGTTGTGGGATATCAGTAGTGGAGAAGCAAGGTATACAGGGTGTACAGTTAGAAGTGGGGCTCTCAAGCCAGACAGCCAAGTTTGAACCTGTATCTTCTGTTACCATTTATGGGCCTTAGGCAGTTGCATCTCTCTGTGCCTCAGCTTCCTCACCTGTAGAATGGGAGTAACAACCATGCATACCTCATAGGGTAGATGAGAGGAATTGCAGCACGGCAAGGGTTTCAGTAAGGGCCGGGCACATAGTTGATGTTGAATATGTGGTGGTTGTGGTAGCTGAACAATATTATTCTAGTACATGATACTATTACTGTTGATAGATAAAAATTAACTGTAAAGTGTTTTTAGGACCCAGAAAATACTGTTCATTCTGTACTCATTTTCATCTAACAATAATAGTTAATGTTGCTGGGGGAATATCCCGAGGGCTTTACCTTTGTTCTCACTCTCATAACAGCGCAGCAGTTATTACCCCCATTTTACACATGAGGAAACTGAGGCTTAAAGAAGTCAAGTGACCTGAAATCAAACCCAGGTATGTCTGGCCTCTGAGTTCATGCTGGTTATTGTCCAGCCATTCCTCTGGTGCGTCTTTCAGAACACATGGCAGGCCCAGCCCCTGTGTTACCAGAGCTCTCTGCAGTGCGATGTTGTATATCATTTGGACCCACGAAATGTGATGGTGGTTGATCTTCTGAGGCTATGGCTAGGACCTGCCTTTGCATATTTGGACTGCTTTTTTCTAAGGCTTTCACATTCTATTCCAACAGAGCCAAGCTGCTCTCTTGCCCAGAATCTTCTCTGTCCCTGTGTGTGAGTCCTATGTGACATTTCTCCCTAACCTCACCTGCTGTGTGGAATTGTGTGTAAAACTCAGTAATAGGATGTTTAAGATCAGAGAGAGAGTATACCGAGTGCTGTGTTGAAAGAAAACTTTAGTTATCATCCTGTCTCTGCCATTAATAAAGTATGTGACCTGGAATCTTGACTGTCCTGGATCTTGTGTTCCTCGTCTCTAAAATGAGGCTTAGCAGATATGGTGTATGGTCCTATCCAGCTACACATTTTCCTTTTAGTGTTAAATTCATGCACTTTTCTTGTCTGCTAGTTAGATTGTAAGTTCTTTGAGAGCAGAGATCATTTCTTGTGTTCCTCCCAATGTGCCAATAATTTAATGTTTTTTCTTACCATAAAAATATTGCATGATCATGGCAAAAAGCTTTATAGAGAATAAAATATGCACATATATATGTATGGGTATATGTATATATGCTTGTAAATGTACATATGTGCATAGATGTGTGTACGTACATGTATTTGTCTATATATTTTTTCAGTATATGCAAAAAAAGTAAAATCACCCTTAATCCCACCATCTGGAGATAATCGCTGTCAGCCATTTGTTATGCATCTCTCAGCATCACTTGCTATGTACATATATAAATTTTTTTCAAAAATGAGAACAAACTATACATACTGATATGTAACTTGCTTTTTATACTTAACATTATTATGAATGCCTTTTTAAGTCAAAAATATTGACTTACACCATCAATTTTAATGATTCATAGTACTTTATATTGACACGATAATAGGTAAGATCTGAACCTTTAATATGAGCCATGTGTGGTTTTAAGTACACTGTATGGATTATTTCATTTATTTATTAACTATTTGGTAGGTTTTGAGAGGCAGTTTTACAGAGTGGTTAAGAATGGAGCCTTAGACATCCACCTGGAATTGGAATCCCAGCACTACCACTGACCAATTATGTGACTTTAGACAAATTTCTTATCCTCTCTGTGACTTCTCTTGTGTAAAATGAGGACAATAATAGTACCTTCTTCCCAGGGTTGTTGTGAAGGTAAAATAAAGATTTACACTAAAGATTAATATAAAGCTCTAAGAATAGTACTTGTCCTGAAGAAAGCATTCAGTTAATGATAGCTGTTTTAATTTCCATTATTACTGTCCTCAGGCTTCAGAGAGCACACAGATAGTGCCTTAAATTATTTAACCAAGCCTGTGTCAGTGATTATTTAGGTTGTAGGTGTTTCCGTTTCTCTGCTGTTAACTAACAGCATAATAAATGTCCTTGTTTGTGCATTTTTTTGCACTATTCATTATCAAACAAATATAGTAATTGGAGAGTTAAAGAGTATGCACATTTTAAAGCTCTTAATATGTATTACCAAATTGCTATTAGAAAGATTATTCTAATTAACACTCCCACTAATGGTCTTAATACCTCCACACATCTCTGTGTGGTTAACACAGGGCCTGGTTCATACTTCATGCTACTCAGTATGTATTTGTCACAGGTCAAGTGTTCATTAAACCAGTGACTTGAAACCTTAAGAACCTAGAATAATATAGAAGCATTTCATGGTAGCCTGTCTACTTCCCACTGCCGCCTTCTTCACCCTGTGTGATGGGTGGTCTTGGGTGAGCTGGGATGCTTGTCTCTACAGCTGTCAGTGACGTTCGAAGATGTGGCTGTGTTCTTTACGCGGGATGAGTGGAGAAAGCTGGCTCCTTCGCAGAGAAACTTGTACCAAGATGTGATGCTGGAGAACTATAGCAACTTGGTGTCATTGGGTAAGGAAATTTCCTCTGTTTAGAAATTGGGATAACTCAGCATCTGATTCCCTGGATAAAAGCCATGGATCATCAAAACTTTAGCTGAGTTTTGCCTTAGCACTGTACAAATTGGATCTCCACAAATAAATCTGAAAAACCTTTTCCCGCTCATAGGCATGGATGCCTCATGCCCCACGGATGGGACAATCTACAGAGCTGCACATCAGAAATGCCCTCATAGTTCAGGCATTTCCCACCATGATTGTTCTATGATGTGTCTGCTCATCTCTAAGCAGAGAGCGTCTTTCATGCCTCTTCTTTGACCCACCACTTGCCTTTCCCATTCACTTTTCCAGCTAGATGAACACTGTATAATCCATATTTGAAAGGGAGCCAGATAGTGTTTTCTCACTTTAAACAATCTACCCGGTATACTCTCCATAGGTACTTGTTTATAAATATGAATTTAGTCTGTACATCTCATATATTTCCTCTTTTATAGAAAGCTAATGGTACCCTATTTCAAGGGTACATATTTATTGTATTTTCCTAACATGCAACTAATTATTACATTGTTATGTTTTACAAGTCCCTTGCTTTTTCCCTAACACACCCCTCACATCATGGGGGCAGAACTTGAGCACCGTAAGGAGCTCTTTTGTATCATCCTGTAAGTTTCCACTCACATCTCAGATGCCTCTTCGTGTCAAAACCAAGTTTGTTGTTGTTTTTATTTTGTTTGTTTTGTTTTGTTTCCATGAGCAGGACTCCTATTTTCCAAACCTGAGGTGATCTCCCTGTTGCAGCAAGGAGAAGATCCCTGGAAGGTAGAGAAAGAAAGCCCTGGAGGCTCCTCTGTAGGTGAGTGGGTGGGGAATCTCTGTAGGCAGCAGTCTGGTAAATGAGTACATGTGCAACTTGGTGATGTTGGTCAGGGAAATTTCTGCAAGTTCTCAGTCCTCAAGAAGTTGTGGAGAAGGGTCACAAACTTCTGCTTCATCTCTGACAATCACTTCACAGGTAAATCTCTCAGGATCTTTATTCTTTCCTCTTGTTTTGGAGGAGGGCTACATTTTCATGTATTCATTGAGCAGACTTAGTCCATTTAAGGAACTGCAGATAATTCATTCTGACTGAAGCCCAGGGTTGTGGGAAAAGAAAGACATGAGGAAGGAAATGAGATCAGAAAGCCAGGTGGGGGCCACACTCTGAAGTGCTTTGGTACAGTTCTTAGAGATGGGAACTGTCCGTGGGTGACTGGAAATAATTCAAGGATTTTAAGCAGAAGAATTACATGGTCCTTGATATTTTAGAAAAAATGGTCAGAGTCTGAAACACTTTAAATGTCCTTCAGTAAAGGCATAGGTAAAGAAGCTGAGGTGTCCCTACACTGGCACACAGCACCACAGTCAGAAACAAGAAGCACTGGTGTGGGTGGAGCTCCAAGGCACGTGAAGGACCAAAGCTGGTTACAGCGCATGATTATGACATGTCGCCATTTATGTGTAAAGAAAATTACGTGGGTGTTTGTCTATATGCATAATATGCATGTAAGTGCCGAGAGAAAGGTCGAGGGACACCTAAGGTGGTAACTAGTTACATTTGGATTAGGATCGAGAATGAGTATTAATGAAAGGGGACTTTATTTACATGTAATGTTATTAAAATTTTCACAGAGAATATGTTCATGAAGTCCTTATTATGCAATTTCAATTTAATAAGAATGGTCACTTTGGAAACACTGTTGATGTTAGATTTGAAGTGAGGAAAAACTAGAGGTGGGAACCTTCTGGAGATTATTGTGTAATGCAGGCAAGACGTTACCTGCAGGAAGGCACATGCAGTGGGTTCAGGAAAGAGGAGAGAGGGACTTCCCTGGTGGCGCACTGGTTAAGAATCTGCCTGCCAATGCAGGGGGCATGGGTTCGATCCCTGGTCTGGGAAGATCCCACATCCTGCAGAACAGCTAAGCCCATGTGCCACAACTACTGAGCCTGCGCATCACAATTACTGAAGCCAGCGTGCCTAGAGCCCAAGCTTCGCAACAAGAGAAGCCACCACAGTGAGAAGCCCATGCACCGCAACAAAGAGCAGCCCCCACTTGACGCAGTCAGAGAAAGCCCGCGCGCAGCAACAAAGACCCGATGCAGGGCTTCCCTGGTGGCGCAGTGGTTGAGAGTCCACCTGCCGATGCAGGGGACACGGGGTCATGGCCCGGTCTGGGAAGA